AAGAACATATTGTTTTCTATAAAACTTTGCTCGTGCCCCTGTGTAATTTCTCCCTGTCTCCTCTTACCAGCAACCACTGATTTGCTTTCTGTCACTATATTCATTTATACTTTCTCAAAAAATATTTTTGTTTTGTTTGTTTTGGTACTGGGATTGAACATAGGGCCTTGAACATATTAACGCTAAGCACATGCTCTACCATAGAGCTGAGCTACACTTCCAGCCTACGTTTAAAAAATTGTCTTTTGTTTTTTGAAACAGGGTCTTGCTATGTAGTCCAGACCAGCCTTGAACTGGCTGCGTAGACTATGCTCATAAACCTCCTGTCAGACTCCCCAGTGCTGACACTGCAGACATGCACCACCATGCTCAGGTTCAAAGTTTTACTAAATTGAATATTTAATATTTTCTATTTTTTTTTTTTGTCTTTTCTTCTGGTACCAGGAATCGAACTCATGACCTTGCGCTTGCCAGGCAGGCGCTTTGCTGCTGAGCTAAATCCCCAGCCCCTAATATTTTCCTCTTTTCCTCCTCCTTCTTCTTCCTCTTCTTCTCTTTCTCCTCCCCACCCCTGTTCCTTTCTTTTTTTTTTTTTTGAGACAGGATCTCACTATATAGTCCAACTGGCCTTGAACTCATGATGATCCTCATGCTTTAGCCTTCAAGAACTAGGATTATAGGCATGTGCCACCATGCTCAGCTTTCTGTTTCTTTTTGATACGGGCTCTAATTATGTTCCCCAGACTGTCTTTGAACTTCTGAGCTCAGCCTGCTGAGTAGCTGGGACTATAGGTGCACACCATACCTGGCTCTTTTTCTTTGACTTTGAGATTTCATGCATACTGTGGCTTGTATTGATAATGCATTCCTTTTCGTTACTAAATAATATTTTATTGTATGGATATAACACTATTGTTTATCCACTGTCTACTTCCTGAGCATCAGTAATAGTTCCAGGTTGTTTGTTTGTTTGTTGTTTGTTTTTCCCGTACTGGGAATGAAAACCTGGGCCTCCAACATGCTAAGTAAATACTCTTCCACTGAGTTATATTCCCAACCACAGTTCCAGGGGTCTCTTTATCATTAGCAATAAAGCTACTGTGAAAATACATGTATTAGTTTGTTTTCTGATGCTATAATAAAATACCTGAAGCTGGGTATTTATACAGAAAAGAGGTTTACTTAGCTCACAGTTTTGGAGGATGAAAGTCCAAGAGCAGGCAACCTCATCTGTTCAGCCTCTAATACAGACCCTTTTAGCTGTGTCACAACATGATAGAGAACCACAAAGGGAGCCAAATGTTTATAGAAGGGTATGAGCATATGGGGTGGACTCACATAACAATCCACTGTCTTGGGTCCACAGACCAGCACTCATTCCTTCTGAGAGCAGTGCCCACAACGACCTAATTATGTTGCACTAGGCACCATCTCTTAAAGGTTTAACTACCTCAACACCATCACCCTGAGGACCAAGCTGAGTCTTTGGGGGACAAACTATACTTAAGCCATAGAAATACAGTATGCTTTCATTTCTATTGAAGTATAATTCACATATAACACCATCCATACTTCTAAGGTATACAGTTCTACCAGACAGATGTATGCAGTTTACAATTTTACAGGCATTATAATCACGCACCCACCACCACAGTCAAGCTTTAAAGTATTTCCATTACCCAAAAAAGTTCCCTTGAGCACTTCTTTCCCCTCCCAGCCCCTGAAAACCACTACTCTGATTTCCATCTCTGTATCTTTGTCTTTTTAGAATGTCATGTAAGTGGAATCACACAGGGGGATGCCATTTTGTGTCTGGCTCTTCTCAAACCTGAGATTTACACATATTTTGCTTGTATCAGTAGTTTGCCTTCTTTCCTATTGCTGATTAATATTTCATTGTATGAATGTAAAATAATCTCTGTATCTGCTCACTCGGGCATTTGAATTATTTTCAGTTTGGGGGAACTATTAATAAAACAGACACAAACATCCCCATATAGTATTTACATTTTTCATTAATAAATACCTAGGAGTGTGATTGCTGAGTCATATAGTAGGTATATGTTTAACTTTATAAGTACATTAGTAAATAAAGTTTGCTTTTCCTTATCCTTTGACTCTTTTTCTTTCTTTCTTCCATTGTTTTGGTTTTTTGAGACAAGATCTCTCTACACAGTTCAGGCTGGCCTTGAACTCACTATGTAGCCCAGGCTGGCCTCAAACTTATGATGATCCTCCTACCTCAGCCTCCCAAGTGCTGGGATTACAGATGTGCACCTGGTCTACATTTTAATTTTATATTAGCTACTTTCACCTTCATCTTACTTTCTAAATTAGATTCTATCACTTATCATTTCAAACATGTTTGCTCATATATCTTGAACAGCGTGTCTCATTGCTCTCCTGTGAAACTCATGCTATTAAACCCCATATCATGGATCAACTCAACTGTCCCTATTCTTTGCACCTATTTTGGAGCTACTTTGAGAAAAATCACTGAATGCTTAAACATACAATAACATAAACTGGTATCCTCTAATCTCGAATGGCCCTTTTTCTGCAGGGAAATGGTTTTTCTGGGCAGTTCACATTCCATCAGCAGCGATTTCAAACCTAACCTACCAATATTCTCTTACCTCCTTTCTGATGAGGTCTCAGTAGGTGATCTCTCAGCACAAGTTACATATCTCTTTGCACCTATACCATTCCTTGCCTTTTTTCCTCGTATTACGGGGGACAGAGGGGTTCAATCAGGAATGCCCCTTCTTTCATCTGTAATATTTCTGGTAGGCAGAATTCGGCACCTAACAACATTTAACAGCAATAGCTTTTAAAAAAATTCTGCTCTGGCCTTTTGGTTGTATTTCTAGCTGGTGTTTTAGAAGATGAGCATTTGCTTATTGGCAGTGTTAATTATAGCTTGCATTGAATGTATTGCTAATATGCTTCTACTGAGGGTCTTTCCACCTTGGATTACAGTCAATGGTAGTGACTGGAGAAAGTGAGGGACGATTTGGGGTTGCCAAGGGGACAGCCGCATACCTCTGAAAATCTGGGCGGATTCTAGGCCTGTAAGCCTCTGGCGCAGCAATAATTCTGCTGTTGAACCCACCATGCGCTTCCCATTAACCATGCGCAACAGGCCAGGTGGGAGCCTATGGAAAGCACAGAACTTTCCTAAAAGGGGACGAGCTCTCTTCGGGAATCGTAGTTCAGAGTCTCTGCGCAGGCGCGGTGGCTCCGGGGGTCTTGCGCGCGCAGCCGCGGCGGGACGAGCTTCTGGAAGCTCATTGCGGAGGAGCTGGCTGCGGATGCGGTTGCAGGTATTGCTCGTCCTGGGCCCCTAGTTTTGGAGCTGTGGCCAGGTGCCCGGCTCGGATGCGGGTGGAGAGCAGTCGCCCCGTCAGGCTGTGCAGAGGCTGCTCCTGCGGGAACCCGCACTTTTCCGCAGGCCGAGCCTCCGGGTTCCCTCCATCCCGCCTTGCGCCCTGGGGCTCCAAACTTAGGCAGGGTTGGTATTCTGGGCGGAATAATTTCTTGCTCTGTGTGTGTGTGTGTGAGTGTGTGTGAGAGAGAGAATTGGGGGAGACTTTTGCCAGATTTTATCAGCGTTCCCGAATCTATCTCCCGGATACCTGTAGCATCCTTTCTCTCCGGTCCTGAACAAGCAAAGTGCCTCCAAGCGTTGCAAATACTAGATCCCCTTAGGGGAGGTCGCCCCTCCCCTTCTTCCCGGGCCGGGAACCTGTGCCTGCGTCACATTTTCTCGCAGCCTCTGCAGTAAGCTCGCCAGAGACGGAGCCGAGCGCGCTTCGTCACCCGCGGGGTCACCCGTACCCACGAGGGCGACAGGCTCCTGGTAGGCACCTCGCTCATACCTGACGAAGGAATAAACGGTGCTGTGCGCCTGTGTGCCGCGCCAGGGCTCGGGGATGAGTTACTGTTGGTATGGTAATTGCGATGAAGCGCACATTGCTTTGTGCTTCGCAGGCTGTGTTACTTGCCTGGCCCTTGAGAAAGGAGGCTCTGCTGGACCGCCTGGCCCCCAAAGTCCCGAGCCCCCCACCCCGCTTCCCGGCTCATTGTCGATGCTCAATCATTTGTAAAATGAATGCGTGCATGCAACACGAGGCAGGGTGTGCACAAAGGACCATTCGGAGAACCAAAGAGAGCTTCGCACAAGCGGTGACGGTTGAAAAGAAAGGTTTTAAAGAATGAATGAAAGTTTAAAAAAAAAATTTTTTTTTTTTTTAAAAAAAGAAAGTTTGGTAGGAGATGGGAAGAACGCAGTATCCCAAGGACAGGGAATGGCTGGTCCTCAGGGTAGGACAGCATTGAGGCTGGGGAGAGGGATGTTTTTCTTTGTTTCACTGCGTCCTCAGGGTAGGCTAGAGAGGTCATCTCTGCCTTCTCCATGGTTGTACCACCCGGAGGTTAAACTTTATCTGAGACCGTTGGCCAGTGAAGGAGTATAAGCAGGGGCGTGATAGAAGCAACTTGCACATCAGAAGAAATCTTCTGCCTACCATGTGAGACCAGATTGCAGAAGCCTTGCTCAGGCAGGTTCAGTGGATAGCATGGAGAGGATCTTGGGAAATGAAGTTGCCACAACTTGGTTATTAACTACATATAAAAAGCACGGAGCAAGAGAAATGTGACATCAACTTTGAAGTCGGGCTTCTGAGCTGTGCAGCTGGTGGGAAATGCGTGCCAGTTTGAGAGAGGGCAGGAGTTAAGTAGGTTTCTGACTCTATCCCTGGAACAGTGACCCTTTTCTGATAAGATTTGTGAGTAGTGAGTCTAAAGTAACTGCCTCCCTGGAGGGTATCTTTATCAGTACGTAGCTCCTTGGCTTTTGACCTATGAAGAAAATTATCTTTTAATAAAGTAGTCAAGCTAGGTATGTTCTCAGCCTCCTAAGGCTGTGCATGTGAACCAAACCAATGTCTTCAGGATTAGCAATTTGTTTCACTCATCTATATCTTATATTTCTTTTTCAGAGTCACTCCAAGACTGTACACTGGATCCCTGGATACCTCGATGTTTAACTGTATAGTGCCTGTTCGTGGGCTGTACGGATATTCAAAATAATTTATAGGGGACTGGATCCCTGCTTGTGATACGCAATGCAAGCTGTAGTGCCCTTGAGCAAGATGACAGCCGTCTTCCCAGGCCCTCCAGCTCTGGCCTCAAGTAAACAAAACAAGGTCCCAAGAGTGAATACTCCTGGGAACCAAGGAACTAGCTTAAGAAAGGACCCTGCTGCCCTAGAGTCCTTCAGACAAAAGTTCAGGTGCTTTTGCTACTCGAAAGAGGCTGGACCCAGGAAAGCCCTGACCCAACTCTGGGAGCTCTGCAATCGGTGGCTGAGACCAGACATTCATACAAAAGAACAGATTTTAGAACTATTAGTGTTTGAGCAATTCCTGACCATTCTGCCTGGGGAGATCGGGATTTGGGTAAAGTCACAACACCCTAAGAATAGTGAGGAGGTGGTGACGCTGGTAGAGGATTTAACACAAGCACTTGAAGAAACAGAAGGTGAGATTTATAGATGGAGGGGGAGGAGGTGGGGGAATCTCTTCAAGGTGTGAAATAAACTCAGAGGAAGGAATTTACTACTAAGGAGGAGTCTTAAGACTAAAATTTAAGAACTAGAATTGTGTAATCCAGGGTGAGGGATTAATTTAAGGAAAATATTCCACCTTGCAGAGTGTTGGCAATCAAGACTTCACTACAGGAGCTTCCATCTCAGAGGCCCGAATTTTGGAAAAGCACCATGTTGCAGTGACAGATCAGAGAGGAGTCAGGAAACCCACTTTTAGACACACCAGTTTGCTGCAGGACCACAAATTAAGTATAGTGTGTGGAGGTAAACACCATTTCTCTCTGACAACGGGAAGAGTAAGTTCTACCTGTCACTGCAACATGGTCCTTCTCCAAAATTAGAGATGGTGTGAATGTCCCTAGAATAAAGAATTTATTGCTAGCATTTTGTAAGGGAGGACATTTTCTTTAAATTAATCTTTATTTGCCTTTGATTATGCAGTTTTAATGTTTACTGGTTGTCCAATCAGTAAAGCTGCCTAAGACCCTGCATGGTGATCCCAGAGGCAAAGGGGGTTCTTGGGACAAGCTAGGTGCCTTTATTCAACACATTCACAGGACACTTGAGCATGGCACTGTGCTAGGATTAGAAGGGAGAGATGCCATTTTACCTGAATAGATCTTGTAATTAGAAATATTTAAAAACTCATGCAAGTTAACATTTTAAAGCCAAGGGTTTATGGAATGAAGGAAATCACTTTTCGTGAGTTCAGGCATTGAAAGGACTTTCTGATGAGGTAGGGAAAAAACCCTGGATTTTTATAGGAATCATCTCTGGCTGCTCTGTTTTCAAAGAGTGGGGAAACTTTGTTACCTTTTCTCCAGAGAAGCATGAAACATTGTGATACTATGAAATATATATTTTAGCTTTTATCCCTAGATCCTGGCTCACAGCTCCTGTAATGTAATTTCCTAAGTGATTGGAGCAATAACTTTTGTTAAAATTACCCCTTTCTCCGTGGCACCTAAAACTTGTGCCAGGACAGCAGCTGAGCTATCCAGGTGAAAGGCAGTCCTTTTGTTATTTATAACAAGCTGTTTCTATGAGCACCTGAGCTTGTTAATGAGCTGATTTTTGGGAAGTCCCTAAATAACCACCATTTGGGGCCTGACTGCCAAGAGAACCAACATGCATTTAGAGAGTTGGAACTCTAAGCCCTTCCATGCACTTTGGAGAGGGGGAAGAGGCAGAAATGAATCATTAATCACGTCTACGTGAAGTATCCTGAAAACCCCGAAAGGATAGGGTTTGAGAACTTCCAGATAGCTGAACACGTGGAAGTTAATGGAGGAAAAGGGCATGGGAAGAATTTATGTCCCATTAGCTCCCAACCTCTTCCTGTGTTTTGCCTTATTAGTCTCTTCCCTCTGGCTGTTCACCTGTATCCTTTGGTTTTGTTGTTTTCGTCTTTTTGAGACAGGGTCTCACTATGCAGTTCAGGCTGGCCTTGAGCTCACTTTGTAGCCCAGGCTGGTCTGGAACTTGCAACGATCCTCCTGCCTCAGCCTCCCCAGTGCTGGGATTACAGGCGTGCACCACCACACCTGACTCACCTGTATCCTTTATAGTAATGGGTAAACATCAATAAAATATTTTTCTGAGTTCTTTCCCAAGGCGGGGGTTATAGGAACTGTGATTGTAGGCTGTCAGAGGTTCCAGAAGCGAAGATTGGCATCTGAAATAAGGGAGAGTGTTGTGGGACTGAGACTTCAATCTGCAGAATGTGGTGCTATCTGCAAATAGCTAGCATCAGCGTTAAATTGGAGGACACCAAGTTGGTATCCACTGGAGAGAGCATTGCAGAATTACACGGTTGCTGTGGGGAATTCCTTGATACACATCTGGAGTCACAGAACAGTTCTATTATATAGTAGGAAAAACTTGGATTTTTTTTCCCCACTATATATCTCAGAAACATATACCATATATATAAAGATATTTTAGTCTGAAAAAATAGTTTAGTCTAAAGATTCCATTTGAAAGACTGGACTGATTTTTTTTTTCCCCTTCCCTAGCTCCAACTGTTCAAGATTCTGCTGTTCAACAAGAGGATAACTCTGGAGAAGATACACTAGTTGCTGTTCCACATACTGAGACATGTGTAACTTTCCTTTCACTGGTTTTCATTCTTAAATGAATACTTAACTGAGCTCTTGGTAGTACAAGTGAACAAAAATAAGACACAGAACTCACAGTTTATTTTCATGTGCTATTTGTATGAGATCACAATGTTACAACTCTGACTCAAAACACAGATGTTTCCTAAAAATCATCAGTTATTTCTAGTAAAATTACGTAGAAATAAAATATATTGTCAGTGTGATAGAGAAGATCTCCAGCTAGATAGTGCTGGAAAATAAAAAGCTGTCTTCACAATGTCAGTAAAATGACAAGGACATTGTGCTGTTAATCAGTATTTTCTGAACGTTCTAGCCAACGTAATAAGGTAAGAAGGAAATGAGAATATACGCATTAATATGAAAGAATCAGGTTTATAAAGCAGGCAATGTTATTGTCCGTTTAGAAAACTTCACCGAATCAAATGAACAAGTACTGAAATGAATGTAATACTGGGGAAAGCCAATCAACCTGTTTTCTATATACTAATAATTACTAATTAGGAAAAAAGTTATACACAAAAGTAATAGTACTGTAACAGTCCAATAATGAGTTCAGAACATCCTAATCCCTGGCACTTGTGAATGGTACTTTACTTGGAAGAAGAGTCTTTACAGGTGTGATTGAGTTAAGGGTTTTAGGATAAGGAATTTATTCTGGATTACATGAGTAGGCCCTAAATGCCATCACAGGTGTCCTTATTAGAGGGAGTTTGAAAACCTGAATCAGCGATGTGAAGAGGAAGGCAGTTTGAAGTGATAGGGCCAAAGCCAAGGAATACTGGCAGCTGCCGGAAACTGCCGCTGGAAGCTGCAAAAGGCCAGGAACTGCCTCTCCTCCAGAGCTTCCAATACCTTGATCTCTTTCTGGCCTCCAGAACTGAGAGAATGCATTTCTGTTGTTCTAACCCATGAAGGTTGTGGTAATTTATTTATGGTATTACATCCATACGAAGCTGCCACAGGTGCTAATAGAACTGTCTTGCATGCAGAGCATGTAGTAGAAAATGTAATGAATCAATTTGCTTGTTTGTAAATATAGAGAACCTCTGCATGTCTGTTATTGAACACAGAAGATAATTGCTGTACATAAACTGGAAGTTGAAATGTAGAAGGTGGTTGGTGATATTAATAGCTTATTTTGATCCTGCAAGTTTGGGCTATGGGAATGCACATCATATCCTTTATTTCTGATTTTTCTTTCTAATCCTAGAAATTAGTGTGTTAGGGTTAAATTCGGTGTTAGGGTTAGGGTTAACGTATGTGTACTGTATTTAACACCAGAGACGAAATGGGAGAAGAGATCATGTGATACCCTTATTCTGCATCACCTCTAATGGTCATATAATAGCTACTCCCTAGTTTACTTTAGAGTTTTTAAAAACTTAAATACTGTCAAAACTGCTAGTTTATATCCTAAACACTTCTCTAAATCCTTAGGATCTGTTTGGGAGTAACACAAGACAAAAGGACTGTGTTTGGTCTTCTAGGAACCAATAGCATTCAAAGATGTGATCATGAGCTTTTCCAAGAAAGAGTGGAGGAAGCTGGAGCCTTTTCAAAAGGAGCTGTATAAGGACGTGCTACTGGAAAACTTAAGGAACTTAGAATTTCTGGGTAAGTATATCCTTTTGTGATGTTCTGGCAACGAAGCTGGGTATCTTTCTGTCCTCTGTTATTAAAAGATAGGTGCAGTGTGATAACTCTGCCTCTCTCTCTCGCTCTCTCGCTCTCTCTCTCTCTCTCTCTCTCTCTCTCTCTCTGTCCCTTTCCCATATTTTGTTTTGCCTGGGCATCCAGGAACTGGTGATTGATCTTAAAAATGGGTTCTGAGAACTACTTTTCTATGATGTTTCCTCCAATAAAAAGGTCTTTGCTTCATTGTTTGGAAGTGTGGAACCTTATTTCCCCCGTTTCCTCATCTGTCTCCAATACTGAAGTCTGTGTGTTTGATAGCGTCTTTTCACTTTCCTGGACGGCCTGTTGCTATCTGTACATCTGTGTTGAGGTGTCTTGTTCTATGCATAACCATTTTCCATTTTCCTCTGTGAGCAGGCTTTCCAGTTTCCAAATTAGACTTGGTTTCCCAGCTAAAATGGGTTGAATTTCCAAGACTGGTGGAAAAAGAACTCTCAAAAGATCCCAGGGAAGGTAAGTTGGTGAAAAGTTCATAAGAAAGTGAAAACAGTTGTTTATCAAGTCAGTTGGAAAGAGCCTTTGTGGGGCAGGCTTGATAGAAAAATACAAGGAGAATTAGAAGAGATCACTTGCCTTTTGGATTTGTTTTTTTCTTCATACTGGAAATTGGACTCAGGGCTTTGGGAATGCTAAGCAAGTGTTCTTCCACTGAGCTACATCCTCACCCCTTATTTTTTTAATTTAATTTAATTCTGAGAGAGACTCACACTAAATTATCTGGGCCAGCCTCAGACTTGTGATCCTCCTTCCTCCGGCCTCAGCCTAGTGAGTGACTAGGATTACAGGTGTACCAGCAATGCACCAGCTGGAATTTCTTTTGTGGGGGAGGTATCTGCTTGCCAGGCAGGCACTGTGCCACTGAGCTAAATCCCCAGCCCTGGAATTTATTTTTAAACAGTGTCTTGCTATGTAGTTGAATTTGGCTTTAAACTCAATATGTAGCCCAAGATAGCTTCAAAATTAATGACAGTCTTCCTGCCTCAGCCTCCTGGGTTCTGGGATTAGCACAACCAGCTCCTGAAATGTTTTTTTTAATGGACCAGACTGTTGGTTGGGTCCTTTGAGAAGTGGATGCCAAGACTATGCAGGAGATTTGTTGTGCCCCATCCAGTAAAGAAAGATGGGGAGGGAGTTGGGAGAAGCTGGAAGAGCTATAAGAACATGATGCAGGTCTGACACCTGTGAATGAGAAAGAGAAGGAAAGCAGGTTAGTGAAGAATGGTCTGCTTTGTGTTTTTGGGACAAGGTCTCACTGCGTAGTCTGGGCTGGCCTTGAATTTGCTACATAGTCCAGGCTGGCCTCATATTCTCAGCAGTCCTGTGCCTCAGCCATGTACTAGGTAATTACAAGCATCTGTAAGCACACCTGGCTTGAGATTTTTTGGTTTTGGTGTTTGTTTTTTTGTTTGTTTGTTTGTTTGAGACAGGGTCTCACTAGGTAGCTCAGGCTTGTCTTGAGTTCACTGTGTAGTCCACGTTGGCCTCAAACTCACAACAATCCTCCTGCCTCAGCCTCAGCCTCCTGAGTGCTGGGATTATAGATGTGTGCCACCACACCTGGCTAAAAAAAAGGTTCTTGAGACAGAATCACCTGTCAGGGGAGTCCTGTTACTTACTGAAAGAAGTCTTAAGTATTCCTGTGCCCCATCTTCAATAGGGAGCAGCCCATGGAAAAGTGGTCTTGGTGTGAATGCAGAGATGGGCTCACAGGAGCAGCAGGGACTGTTGAGTAATATCCCCACAAGGGGAGATCTGAGAGGTACAATTTTTTATGGACACCAAACGAGAGATACCAAGCAAAATTCTTGAATAATGTGATGCATGCTATAGTAATGGCACCTGTAAGAAGCTATAAGTAGAGAGCCCCAGATCTACAGTGGTTTATCTTAAGACTTTTCAACTTCAGGATGGTGTGAAAATGATACACATTCAGGAGAAACTTTGCTTAGAATTTCAAATTTCAGATCTTTTTCTTGACTAGCAATATGTAGTCTGATATTCTTACGATACTGAGCAGTGGTAGCTAGCCAGAGCTCCCAGTCAGCTACACAGTCATGAAGGAAAACCTATGCTGTACAGTGCTTCTGCACAGTGCTGATCCAGCTGACAGCATGTACAGTGATTCATTTTTCTTAAAAGAAAAAAAAGCAATAATGCACATATGTCTAAATATATGGTTTAAATACAAATTTTTCATATCTTGGAAAATTCATGTCAACGCTGGTGTTATGTTTGAGGTACTAGATTGTCCTACCTTTACCCTTTTTTATCTTAAAACTTAACAATATTTTAAATTTACATTTAAAAATAAAGCATTACATATATAAATATATTTGTTTATTTAAAAAAATAAAGCCAGTAATCCATCTTGCTCTGTTCCATCTCCTAAACCATTCATTTTAGTCAGTTTCTTGACTACTTCCAAAATAATTACATAACTAAAAGAATAATTGTGTTGTAATATCTAAATAGCATTTTGGAGAGTCATTCCAAAGATAGATCATAAATTGGTTTAGATTACTATAGAATCATTGGTTTAAAATATATCCCTTGCCCAAAATGCCTACATAGAGGAAGCAGCTTGTAGATGTACAGTGTCTTTAACAAGTCACTTACAACATTGCAGAAAAGTTTTTTGACAATGCAGAAAAAATTTTTCACAAAGCGGAGTCAGTAGCCATAATTTTTACAAAAGCTAATGCAAATCAGCCAGGTGTGTTCCTGCACAGATGTAACCCCAACACTTGGACAGTCACCATGAGTCTGTGGTCAGCATGAGCTACACAGTGAGTTCAGGGCCAGCCTGAATTGCACAATAAGACCCCCATCTCCCAATATAAACAAACAAAAGCTACTGCAAATCAATAAAGAACACTAAGTATGTTAGAAAGGTGAGTTAAGGGAATAACTAAATATACTATATCTAATGATTGATTATCATACAGTTGATTAAAATCATACAGTTGATTAAAATCATACAGTTGATTAAAATACATACAGTTGATTAAAATCATTTTTATGTAGAAGGGATGGGAAATAATCATAAATGAAAAACAGTAAGAATACATATACAGTTCTCTAAACTATGCAGAATATTTTCTTAAAAAGAATTCAGATAGCTTCTGGGTAACAGTTTGAGTAAAGTTTATATTTTATAGTTATCTGTTTAAAATACTTTTATGGAAGTGATAGTATGACCTTGTGATGAAAAGCAAGGTGAATGGTGTGGTTAGTAAATGAATTCAAAGATCTGAGAAGAGCACAATTGGGATACAGTATTGGAGGAACCTCCTTAAAGATGGTGAGACTTGAAGCCTAGGCCCTGTCAAATTTACATATGATAGTGAAGGTGCTATGGGATTACATACTGGCTAGTATGAACGTTTAAGATCAAAAGAATAGGAGCAAACGAGCTGCAGTGTAGGAGGGACCAGCAATGTATCCCCAATTATCTTGTGGTTGATAGGGCCAAGTTGTGCTAACCTTTGAAAGTCTAGCATATATGGCATTGCATATTTGTGATACGATTAACGTTTTCTATAAAAGTAGTGCTTTACCTGCTTTGAGAAGAGGCCATATTGCATAGGGATCAAACGCATGGTCTTCGGTGTCAGACTAGGTTAAAAATACAGTTTACTTGTAATGAATGTGACCATAGGCAAGCTGCTTACATTCACGTGTCACATCCGTAAAACAGGGTTAATAGTAGGACCTACTACTTGGATTGTGGTGAAGATGAAGCAAAATAATGCAAATAAAGTGCTTACTGTGCTGGCATTTTGTAAGTATGCAATAAGTATTAATATTAGCCTTGTTTGGAAAGAGAAAAGTTTGTATGAAAGGAAAATATGTTTGAAATAGAAATTTGAAGTGAGGATGAGAACTTGCATCTGTTAACTATGAAGCATACACTTTTCATCTTCCTCAATTTTTTCCCTAACCTTTGTGTTTATCTTGCATGCCTATATTGCTGTTCTTTTCCCTGTTTAATAGGACACTAATTTAAAACTATCTAAGACATATTCCTTATCATGACTTCCCGTGTTTCTAGTTCAGTCTCCAATACATCAGCTTCTTTAATTGCTAACAGGAAATGTTCTATGTGTTATTTCTTTTAGAGTGCGAGCCTAAAGGGGAATTGGAGGAATCTGCGCAAAACCGTGATGTTTTTATGGAAGAATTAACTTTAGAGAAAATAATAGAAGAATGCTTCAAGGATGATGGTTGTAGTCTGATAGCAGAATTCCAGAAACGTTACGGTAAATCCATGGAGGATCATGGCAAACAGCGACATTCAAAAGGATCAGTTATAGAAAAGGAAATTCACAGGAGAGGCAATAAGGGTGAAGTATTAGACACAGAAAAGAGCTCCTTCGGAAAGAAATTCAAATGGACTTCTGACAATCTTAAACATCTGAAAACTTTTTTAAGAAAGAAGTCCAAAACGTGCAAAAAACCCTTCAGTTTTCATTCAGATCTTCATACTGCAGAAAAGTCACAGAAACACAGTGAAGCTGGAAAGGGCCTGAATCGCTCTTCAGTTCGTACTGAACCTCAGAAACACAAGAAAAGTTATCTGGGAAATAGATCCCAGAAGTGCAGTAACTGTGGTATAACATTTACACAAGGTTCATGCCATTCTAAAAGCAAAAGCTCTATCTGTCAAAAATGTCAGAAGAAATTACGTCAAGATGAAGGCGTTCCGTCAAAGAAAGATACGGGTATTCCCTCAAAGAAAGATGAGGGAACTAAAACTGGAGCAACTACTCATAAATGTAGTAAATGTGGAAAAACCTTTTGCTATATTGCCACCCCCAGCAAACATAAAACTCCCACTGGAGAGAAACCCGATATGTGTTTTGAATGTAGAAAAGCTCATGGTACTATTTTATCACACAAGCGACGTCACAAAAAGCAGAGTGTAGAAAAGCCCTATAAGTGTAAGCATTGTGGGAAAGGTTTTACCCTGATTACTGATGTCGTTAAACATGAAAGAATTCATACTGGGGAAAAACCCTTTCAGTGCAAAGACTGTGGGAGACCCTTCAGTGACAGTTCATCTCTTTCTCAACACCAGCGAACTCATACTGGCGAAAAACCTTATAAATGTGATAATTGTGGGAAATCCTTCACTCATAGCTCTTCCCTTGCCAAACATGACAGAATTCACACTGGAGAGAAACCATATACATGTGATGACTGTGGAAAAGCCTTTAGACAGGCTTCTTGCCTTAAACGACATCAGAGAATTCACACTGGAGAAAAACCATATTTGTGTAATGATTGTGGTGTGAATTTCAGCCTTTTTTCATCTCTCGTTTATCATCAAAGACTTCACACAGGAGAAAAACCCTACAAATGTGACCAGTGTGAGAAAGCCTTTGCTTCCCATTCCCTTCTTACTCGTCATCTGAGAATCCATACAGGTGTGAACCCTTACAAATGTAAAGACTGTGGCAAAACCTTCAGGCAGAGTTCATCTCTTAATAAACATTACCGAACTCATACTGGAGAGAAACCCTATGAATGTGACTTCTGTGGAGCAACCTTTAGTCGGAGCACAATCCTTGTAGAACATGTAAAAATTCATACCAGAACAAGTGACTATGAATGCAATAAATGTGACAAAAAATTTAAAAGTACTTCAGGCCTTGCCAGACATAGGGCATCTCATGCTGCAGAGTAGTTCTGCAAATACAGTAAGGTATTCTTCCCTCTTCATTTCAAGGATGTCACCTGCTGATAAATAGTAATAGAGTTGATAAAGCCATGTGGAAAGTAAAGAAAGTGTTAGATGTAAAATGATTCCAAAAGGCCAGACTTAAATTTGAAAATTTTTTCTTTAGGAGGTTTTCCTCTCCTGCTCCTCTTCTACTGTCTTGGATTGAGATAGAAAGAGAGCTTGACTTCCATTCCCTGGGCACTGTCCCAGATTGCCAGCTTTATACTACATAACCTTGTACAAATCATTTAACCTTTCTGAATTTTAGGTTCCGTACCAATAGAGCAAATGGAAGGGACTAACGATTTCTAAGGCGTTTTGTTTGTTTTATCTCTGATAACTGATGCTGTAGAAATGTTACATGTTTTTATTTTTTGGAATTTTCTTGTTTCTCTGATAGAAAATTGTTTTCTTAGAGGATACTGGACTTCTAGTTCAGTGGGAGTGCCAAATACTTTTTAGATACTTGATGCAGGAATCCCTAGAATGTGATAGGAACAGGTCAAGGAAGCTCAGACAAGTTTGCCCTCAGGGAAGTTGTAATGAGATAAAATACCCCATTCTTTTCTTTTGGTTACTAAAGGAATTGAGAGTCCAAAAAGCTTGAATTTAAGTTACCTCAGTCTTAAGAATCACAGTCCTAGGAAAAATAGACTTGGGGAGAGAGAAAGAAAGTAAAAATGGGCTGGGGATTTAGCTCAGTGGCATAAGCATCTGCCTGGCAAGTGCAAGGTCCTGAGTTCGATCCCCAGTATGGCAAAGAAAAAAAAAAAAAAAAACCTGAAAACAGCTGTTCTGGGTGGGTGTTCATTTGCAGCATAGAATTATATATTTTAAATTTTGTGTCTGCAGCAAGTACAGCTTTCTGCAATTGTAGTGTAAGCATTCAGTATAGCAAAAGTCACATCTCTTAGATGGGGCCTTTAGTTATATTTTGGGTTGTCTGCAGGGTGGGATTTTTATATGTATGTATGCATATGTATGTATGTCTGTATGCTTAGTTGCCATTATTTCAAATTAGGGAATTTCATATTAAAACAGTTTCTCTTTTAAATTTTTTTTGTACTGGGAATCAGACTCGGGACCTTGTGCTTGCCAGGCAGGCGCTTGTGCTGCTGAGCTGTATCCTCGGCACAAGGTTTCTCTTTTAAAAAACATAAGGGCAGCCCATGCTGGACTCCTGGGTCTGTGGAGTGCTCAGCTGGCTCTGAGTAGCAGCTGTCTCCTTTAAGTGGGGAATCTACTTTCTTACTTGTCAACCTCTCCCCTGTGTATAACCCAACTTTCCTATTGTAGGAATTTGGTATTTTAATCCTCCACCATCTGGGGAATACGTACACTAAAGTTTAAAGAGACCCCATTTGGTAGCTAGTGAAGTTCAAGGAAAGAAGGTGGAATTGATGATGTTTTCAGTTATTTTGTGTGTGCAAAATTAGACCTCCAAGGTACGGAATATATGGGTATTGATGAATATTCATTTAAAATTTCATTGGTGAAGTCTGAATAATTTCTAACTGGAAAAGGAACTAAAGACCTTCAGTGAATTAGGTTTGGGTCTCAGGTCATGGGGCTCCAGAGGAGCCCTACTGATTCAACAGTGGTAGAGAAATAAGTTCCAGAAGTTGAAATTTGAGGCCGTTCCTATAAAAACAACTAAACTATACAACTCTGGGCTTGTGGGAGCAAAGAGATCTTAATGCTGATCTGAGACTCAGGAATAATTGCTGTAATTTCATGTGCTTAGGTTTGAAATGCTACCTCTGGTTGTACGGTTTTGGTTTCTTCTTTGTGTATCTCTGAATCCCAAAGCCGGCAGCTCCAATACTGCTGTGTAACAAATTGATCTGTGTAGTTATTCCTGAATGGACCTACAAATGCACTTTAGCCAGGAAAGGAATATAGGTTATAAGAATCATATACTAGTGTAAGAATTTTTTTTCTGAAAAAATACAGTTTATAGAAAGAATTTAAGAAATAGCTAAAACTCTTCTCTTGAGAAGAGACTTGTTCCAGGTTTAGTGGGGTTAGACTTCCCAACTTTCATAAGTGCATGTTATCCCAATATCAGTTGGAAATCTGCAGTATAAACTTTTTTCAGTTTTATTGAATTATAAATTATATGTGATAAACATTTCAGCTGTACAGATCAGTGAGTTTTAGTAAATTTACCGAGTTTGTACAATCTTCACCACAATCCATTCTTGAGACTATTATCCACATATTCCTTATACCCATTACAGTTAATCCCCCTTCACATCCTTAATCCCAGACAACCTCTAATTTGTGTATCTGTAGAGTTGCCTGTTCTGGACATTTTATATACATGGAATTATATGTGGTCTTTTGTTTCTTCTTTCACAAACATGTTTTTAAGTTTATCCAAATGACAGTATATTTCTCTTTTTGTTAAAGTATTATCAGCATGACTTGTATACTGCAATAACCAAAGAAGGAAAAGTTATCTCTTGCTTTAAATACCATCTTCATCATAGAAATTAATCTTTTTTTAAAATTAATCTTTATCTCTAGCTGAAATCCTTTGACAGATGGAGAATTGTCAAAAAGTATCTGTCATGAGTTTGAGCTTAGGCAGTTAATTGACATTTTGTAAATTTAGATGTCCTTTGACATGGAATATATCCAAAGTTTTTCTGGGGCACTAAATCACATGACATATCTGAACCTAAAGAAAGATATTTGAAGATTCTGAATCAGCTGATCTTTGATATTATTAGAAATATATATCCTATCAGAAGAATGATTTGCTCATGCATTTTGTGTAAGCAAAATTGTTTAATGATGTATTTGAAAATTTGTTTTCTTTAGTGAGTTTTTTAGATGTTGTTTTGTCACAAGTTTCTAAATTATGATAACATGATTATTTCTTTTTAATCTAAAATGTGTGTGTGTGTAAGGTGCTGTTTATAGCTGGCGAAGTTTACAAACTCCAGATCCTGTTAAAATTTGTTTCAAACCATTTTTGTTAGAAATTCTCATATGACTAATCTAGTGGATGTTTTTTGACTGCGTTGTTGATCTTCTGTAAGTCTTCAATATTATCTCAAGTACTGTCTACTGTATTACCTTTCACACTGAAATTAAACAGTGCTTTTGTTGGCAGCTGTAAATTGCAATTGTGACTATCATTGAATATCCACTATACTCTACTCTTCCCGTTTTTCTTGACTGGTTAAAATATAAGCCTCTGTCTCTTTACCAAATTCTGCCTCAGTACTATGCCTTTGTTTACAGCTTTAATATTTTCCAAAATAACTATAATTAAAATAGTAGATAGAAATTTAGGACTGTAATTTATGTAACATTGTAACCTTGCTGTCTGCATAAGTAAACCTACTGTGATATTTTATTTGTGCATAGAAAAAAAGCATCTGATCTCAATCAGTCTTTGATATGACTAGATTGGTAAGGTGTTTATATGTGACACTAAAAACACACATTCCTGTCTAAGTTACAATACAACTGTCCTGTGCAATGCAGTGGTTCAAGTGAATTGTAGTTCTATTAAATAAAGTTGTGTTTAATGAAAAATGCTGCACTCTGCTTCAGATTTTTAAATTAGCAGGTGGCATATTTGCATTTCCAGTTCTTTAATAGCCTCAAGTGGTTACTACATTGGACAGTACAGAGTTAGAAAAGACGATGCTGTCCACAGAGAAGCCAACAGGTCTCAATAGGTTAACTCAACAAAAACATATTCCCAGGCAGCCCTTCCAGTGTTTCATAGCCATGCTGCTTAGAACATGTGACTTCCAAGGTCAGAGCCAAACCCTGGCTTAGAAACAGCTTAGAAGGACAGGTCCCACCTGGGTGCCAAGATGTTCCAGGATGGTGCAGAGAACTGGCGGCTTCCCAAGACATTTGAATATTTTTAAGCTAACACAGTGACAAATGCAGCACAAACTGACTATTATGGTGTTTGGAACTAGCAAATGGAAGTTAGGAATTTTTTTGGTCTAGGGGTACTGTGGAAAAATGATTAAGGTGCTAAAGATGCTTTTACCAAGGAACTTTGAGACCCTCTGACTTAGAATTACTTCTGCTGGCCAGAAATCAGTCACCTTGGCCCTACCCTAATTGCAAGGAAGGATAGGAAAGAGCCTTCATCTTACTGTAGTGAACACACAGGTTGTTTTTATCTTTTGATCACAAAACCCTTGCATTCTTTCCAGATGTAGTACTTACTTTCCTCAAGGAAGAGTCCAGGCTGATGTGATCAATGTTTCCAACTCGATCCAGGGTCTCTGATTTAGCTTTAAATTTCACATAGGTTTTGTCTTTGAGACCTTAAATGTTAATGCTTTATAATCTTTCCTGAAGCACTGTAACTGCTCCAGCAGGATCTATAGTTCACTGACTATAGGCCTTCTGGTCAGCCTGGGGCCTATCAGCTGACTCACATTCTGGAGTAAACAGAAAAACACTGGTTGGATAGGAGTTGGACTTCATTCTTTATCTATATGGGTTTCCTTTTTTCTCCCCTTAATTTATAGTCTCACATCTCATTTCTATCTTCCTCCAGGCCCAGCATCCTCAAGGTCATCTTTCAAGTTCTATCTGGTGAAAGATAATACTTCTCTTTTCCTGTAGTGGGACTGATAATCGCCTGACCGAACATGGTAGGCGGGATCAAGCTGCTGTACACATATTTTCAAGTACTGTCTCTTAGCCTGTAATTTCTTCCTCCCTTCAACAGCATCTGATGTCTCCGTTCTTAAGTCTTCAGATTTCATCAGTATCCCATTGAAGACAGCTGTCTATTTTGGAGCTGAAATCTTTCATGATTTGTCAGGTAGGAGCCCCTTAAAGCTGGCTTCTGAATTCTTTTGACGTGACTTCATTCCTTAAGCACTTCTTTGCTTTCTGGTATCAGACATCCCATGATCTTGTATCGTCCCTTCTCCAGCCCTGGAATAAGCCATCTTTTACTGAGCTCTGACTCCTTTTAGTGGAGATGCATATGCAAAGGTCATATGCTTGGATACTGATGTGTTCATTGCTATTTGGGTATCAGGATGTTACTGCTAGATCTGTATCATTGACATTCAGAGAATATATACATGCACACATACATTTATATATGTAATATAAATGCATAATATATACACAATTACATCTATGTTTTGTCTCATGAGACAATCTACATTTTAGCTCATATACATTGAAAATCATGAGTTCATACCAATACCTCCAATTCTAATCCACACAAAGTTTTTCTCATGCTTGTCACTCCCTTCTCTTGCATTAAACTCTTTCTTACTTCCATTGTCTTTAATATTGCTTTTGATCAAACCTACCACCATGGCCTCTCATATAGACACTCCTTCATTTCACTCAAACTCTGATAAAAGTGTTCTGTTCGTGCGTGGTCACCACTTTTGCTTCTCCCTGTGAATACTGTTCTCCTGCCCATACTTCCACAGCTCATGTTGGGCCCCATTGCACAGAAGCTCATCTTCGGCTCTGACTTCCCCCTACACACACACACCAGGCTGTCTTTTGCATGAGCGCCTCTTCAACCTGCTTGGGATTGAACTGCCTGTGGTAAGTCACTCATTCCCATGTGGTTACTGTCTCACTCTACTTGGGATCGCATACTCCCTGCTGGGCCAGGCCTCCATGTGGCTGCCCTGTTTACTCTGCCTGAGTTATACCCCTTGCTGGACTGCCCCCATGAATGATACCCTCTTGGTTCTACTTGAACTTTGATTCCTCTAACTAGGTGGCTGTCCTGCTCAAATGTCCTCCTCACTCTGCTTAAACTCTGATACCCTTCACCAGGCCATGCTCTTGGCTTTGACACACTATGTTGGGGAGACCTGTTGTGATGAAGATGACAATTCATTTCGCTTGGGCTCCAACGTGCCCTACCAGACTTAACTCCTCATCACTCCCACCCCTTTCCTGATCACTGGTAGAGAGAGAGAGAGAGGCTGAGACAGACAGAGTCAGAGTGAGAGTGTGAGAGTGACAGTGAGACTTGGGCTTTGACTCCTCATGCTTGGGCAGGCTCCACGCATGACCTGCTCACCATGAAGGCTCTCCCACCCCAGCAGGCAGGCCACTTGTTCAGCCCCACTAATGTCTGTTTAAGCCGATTAGTAAGAAAAGAGGACACAAAGCAGAGAATTTTATTATTTAATTGTACTTGTGAGTAAATTTGTACATAAGATTCAGAATTCAAAAAGTACAAGAGATAATACAGTATAAAGTTTTTCTTTTATCCTCATCCTTCTTGTATTCCTCACTTCTCTTCCTTGAACACATACTGGTAGCTTATTACATCATTCCAATCTTATTACATTGCCCCATTGCTTCAGATTTATTTAATTATTATACTACAGATTTATTTAATTATTCTGCTTTATGATGCCAGAATTGATCAACAGAACGAACACCTTTCTGATACTGGATCTTCCTATCCAAGAGTATGGCACATTTCTATAAGTTCAAATTCTTTTTTTTTTTTTTGGTACAGGAATCAAACTCAGGACCTTCCATTTGCCAGGCAGGCACTGTGCCACTGAGCTATATCCCCGCTGTTTAAATCTTTTGTGCTCCTCAGATTCACTTCAGATTCACTAATTTCTGCATGGAAGTAGCTAATACTTATCTCCACTTTTCAGATGAAAAACTAGAAATCCAAGGTCACAGAGATATTAAACTTTTGAACTCCACTATCGTTTGAATGAGTGCCCACCACCAAAGCTTCTGTTTTAAAAGGTATGGCCAAAAAAAAAAAAAAAAAAAAGGTATGGCCATTAGTTTCTGGAGTGGTGGAGTCTTTAGGAGGTTAGGTCTAGTGGAAGTTAGATTATTGGGGTGTGCCCTTAATGGGGATATTGGGACCCCAGTATCTTTCAGTCTGTGTTTCTTTGCTTTCCAACTGCTGTGAGGTAAGTAGCTTCCTCCACTACTTGTTTCTGCTTCTGATGTACTACCTTACCACAGGCCCAAAGCAATGGGGCCAATAGACCATGGACTGAACCTACACAACAGTGAGCCAGAATAGATCTTCCCTCCTTACAAGTTATCTCAGGTATTTTGTCACACTAATGGAAAACTAATACATACCCCAATGCCATTATTTGTTACTGTAAACCAGAAAAAGCAGAAGTAGGTAGAAAGGTAACTGGCTGTGGTTAACTATGAAATTTATATTATTTGTCACTAATCACAGACCGCTTCAATGTATTTTATTCAGTAGATCATTATAGTTACCATTTCTTAGATTATTTGGACAGTATACATTTTTACTAAATAGTGAAGAATTCAGTAGTCATCCAAATTGTGCTATGATGATTCATATGTCATTTTTTTCACACTTTCACAATTGCTTTCCCCAAATTATCACCTTTCATCATTCCCATAAATGCAGCTGGCATGTTTTCAAATCCTTTGATAAGGTGTTCACGATACTGGATTTTGCCCTGTATCAAAACAACAACAAATATTGATTTCACATTCCAAACATTTTTCTCATCCTAGCAACAAATTTATCATTTATTGTTTTTAACACTTTACAAGATGGAGGCATGTTTTCTGTGAACTGAAAGTTAATTTGGGGGACAAGATCCCTATACATAGCCTATGTAACAGATTACAAAGTACACATAAGAATGTAGTAGGTGTCTGATCACAGTGTAACAGAAGAAATGAAGAAATGCAATGATCAAGCAACTGTTAAGTAAATTCTACAGAAAAGTTTAATAATGCAATGGTTTCAGAAAATGTGGAAGTAGACAGAGAAATGAACATCATTGCCAGGTACTATTTGTGTTATGGTTTGTACCTGGATATCCACCCTAAAGCCTCACTCATAGATGGGCTTTTTGTGAGATGACTGGATCATGGGGGTGTGGTAATTACCAATGGATTAGTCACTGATGAGTTTATAGCTAAATGTGGTTTTAGAGGTATTATGGTTTGTGTCTTGATGTCCCCCAAAATCCTCATGTGGTCATAGTGCTTTTTCAGAGGTGGCTGAATCTAGACTGTGTGATGCTGGGATTAAGGGTGTGTGATTACTAATCAGTCCACTGATTGCTTTGGCAAGACCCTAATCTCAGAAGTCTGGATAAGACATAAGGGGCAGAAAGACACTGTTAAGCCCCCTGGTTGCTTTTGCTATCTTCTGCTGCCGTGAGCTGTTGCCCCTCTGCCATGTGCCACCCTGCCTTGGAGCCAGCCGAATATGGACTTCAGCCGCTGAAAACTGAACTGAATACCTTTCCGCCTTTAACTGTGGGTGTTAGGTATTTCATGTCAACAAGAAAAGTAACTAAGACAGGAGGTGAAGCCTGGTTGGAGAAGGAGGGTCCTGAGAGGGCAGGGCTGGGTCTGTCTCTGTTCCTCTACCCTCAATTGTTCTGTCGGCTTCTTGTTGCCATGCCATGAGCTGTCCTCCTCTGCCATGCCCAGGTGGTGTGCCACCCTGCCTTGGACTTGTGGACTGAGACCTCTACAAACCGTGAGCCAAAATAAACTTTTCCTCCTTTAAATTGTGGGGGTTGGGTATTGTGTGTCAGCAACAAGGAAAGTAACTAAGGCAGTCTGGAGCACAAGTCACTTCTAGTAGGCAAACCATGCAGAATCATTAGTCTGTTCGGGCCCTGCAGTGGTGCACTCTGTTCAGGCAGTGTCAATAACCACGGCAGTCCAATTATTTGTATCCCCCTCAGGCCAAGGGTCTTTTAATCTATGCTTAATATCTACTGGAGCAAGGGGAAAGGGCTCACTTTAGTGAAAAAGACTTTTTATTTTTCCTTTTAAGACAAGGAATATAGTCCATTATGTGGGACTAATTTACATTTTCAAATTCTTCCCAGGGGTCTATGTTGGGCCTGGCGCTACCTGAAAGCGTATTTTTCTCTAATGTAGTCTACTGATGGTTGACACTATGGATGCACTGGTGAACAAAATTATTTGCTTTAAGTCAGTCTGAAAATAGGGAAGCTCGGAGGGCTGAACCCTTGACTTGAAAACCCCAGCTCTTGGTTACTTTTAGAAAAGCAGAAAATCTGGGTAAGATGGAAAGCTGGATTCTAGTTTAATGATCAAAGGAGAATGAATAGTTATTCACATAGGAAATGTGAAGCCCCTCTTCCCTAATTTGTACATTAAAGTCCTAACCCACAGTACCTCACAAGGTGACTATATGTGGAGATAGGGCCTTTAAAGAAATAACTTGTAGGGGCTGGGGATATAGCTCAGCGGCGTAAGCGCCTGCCTGGCAAGCGCAAGGTCATGAGTTAGATTCCTGGTACCAAAAAAAAACCAAAAAAAAAAAAAAAAAAACACTTTAAAAGAAATAATTTGTAGGTATCTTCCTGAAAGAGTTAAAGACATCATATTACAGTAGTACATGCACACCCATGTTTGTAACTGCATAGTTCATAATAGCTAAATCTTGGAAGTAGCCTGTATGTCTGTCAACAGATGAATGATAAAGAAAATGTGGCATTTGTACACAATGGAATACTATTCTGCTGTAAAGAAGGATACATTTAAGTCACTTATAAGAAAATGAAGCCAGGCATGGTAGCACATGCCTGTAATCTCAGCACTTGGGAGGCCACACAGTGAGACCCTAACTCAAAAACAAAGAAAAAAGGAAAAAAGAAACACAAAGAAAATGGGTGCACCTTAAGATCAGAATGTCAAATGAACTAGGCACGTGAGCTTAAATATTGCATAGTTTCTGTTCTGTGAGAAACCCAGAATAAAATAAAGAGCAAAATAAAAGACAGATAGAGGAAGTAGGGAGATAAGAGCTTTTACAAAAGGGAACAGCAAGACATGGACAGGTGGGAGGGAGGCTAGGAGAAAGGCATGAAAAAAACATTCAGATGTGTTATGCGCACGTACTGACTCCGCATGCAGAGTGTAATTATTATGTACTGCAAACGTGTACTAATAAAAAATAAAAAGTGGGAAGAAAGATACAGTGAGGCCACATGGGTAGGTCATGATCCAGTAGGACTGGTGTTCTTATAAGAGATTAAGAAACAGTGTGAGAAGATTATGCAAAGACGCAGGGAAAGGCCTCAGAAGAACCAATCCTGTTCACACCTCGGATGTCAGACTTCCAACCTCCAGAACTATAAGAAAATAAACGCCTTTTGTTTAAGCAACCCAGTCTGTTGCTTTTGTTATGGTACCCCTAGAAAATTAACACAAAGACTAATGTAAAATGCTAATGATAGGGGAATTTAAGGGATAGATACAGAGAATATGGGAGTGCTTTGTATTATGTAAAACTATTCTAAAATAAAATGTATGTTTAAAAAAAACAGAAGATGTGGGGGAAAGGGGAAGGTTAGAACTCACTAGTTACTTAAATAGAAACTAATCAGCTTCCCTGTTAGAAAGAAGCACCCTAGACACCATGGACACCAGCACAGGGGCTTCTCCTTGTTAGCTGTGATCATGGAAGGGCAAGATTCTATTGTGCCAATGAGGAAAAGAGGCAACACTGGGAATTTAAACATTCAGCTGTTGCTGGGGATTTAGCTCAGGGGCATAAGTGCCTGCGTGGCAAGCATAAGGTCCTGAGTTCAATTCCCAGTACCAAAACAAACAAACAAACAAACATTCAGCTCTTCTCAGGATTCTAGAGAGCCCAGCCCAGCACTCCAAGTGTTACACTGGGAAAACTGCCAAGCTCCAGTGGCTGCCAGAGGAGCAATCTATACTTCTGACTTGGGAAATGACCATAAGCCGGGAATTAGGAAGCATTATATCACCATTCCTCTCCAAAACTAAAACAATGCACCTTGATCCTTTAGATTTCTGTCAGCTAAAACTCCACTATGACAAGGTGAAAAAATGATCACAGTTCAGGACAAAAGGAGTTCTTCTTCGGATCTGAAGGGATGGCTATACGAAACCTCTTTGTGATCTAGGACACAGGACAGCCGTGGCTCATTTATGGGCCCCTCTACCATTTATCCATTCAACAACTTTTATCTAGTGCCTACATTTTTTTCCTTTCTTTTGGTATTTGGGATTAAACCCATGGCCTCAGCATGCTAAGCATTACTCTACCACTGAGCTATATCCCCCAGCCCTTTAATGCTTACATCGATTCAAACCCTATTTTGGGTGCTGCAGATATATCAGAAAATAAGACATGAGTGTTGTTGTCTTCATGGATAGTCTTCATGTGATAGTCTCACAGAAGGGAAAGTGCAGTACATACAAACGGGACTGCTGTGCATAAAAAGGACCAAGGAGTATCAGAAATAAAAGGATACTTCAATTTAAAAGAAGGTCTTTTAAAAGTTCTCTCATTCATTCTAATGCTCTGCTGCATACTATGGTTGCATCCAATTAACTAGCTATTTCAAAATAGCTAGTAGAAAAGATTTTTAATAGTATTCCAACCAAAGAAAGCATAACAGATGTATTGAGTATCTCAATGTATATATGTATTAAAAATCATAAACATGTACAAGTATTATATGTCAATTCAATTCAATTGTTTTTGTTTGTGTTTTTTGAGAGACTCTTGCTATACAGGTCAGGTTGGCTGTGAACTCACTCTGTAGCCCAGGCTGGCCTTGAACTTGCAGCAATCCTCCTGCCTCAGCCTCCTAAGTGCTGGGATTACAGGCAAGCCCTACTACAACCAGCACAAAAACGTTAGAAGTTTTCTCATTGTCAGGCACTTTTTTTTTTTTTTTTTTTGGGTTTTTCTCTGGTACTGGGAACCGAACTCACGACCTTGCGCTTGCCAGGCAGGCGCTTTTGCCACTGAGCTAAATCCCCAACCCCTGTCAGGCACTTTAAGACTTGAAGGACATGGGAAAAATTAAGGAAGCAGTCACAGGGGTCGGAGGGGGGCTCTACTTAGCAGAGTAAGCAAAGGCATGAACACTAAGAAATGAAATGAGAGAGGTACAAAGGGTCAGACTGTGTACAACTTTATAGGGTGATGCAAGCGCTTTGGATTTATGCTAACTGAAATGGAAAGCCTTGTAGGGTTTAAAACATAGTGACAGCTAAAGGGTCACTCTGGCTGCTGTGTTGGGAACTGTCCGTAGGGATGCAAAAGTGGGAGACCAGATAGAGGTTACTGCAAACATCCAGACAGTGTGGCAGCCTGGACCACGCTGGCAGCAGAGGATGTGGAAGAAGTGACCAGACTCTGTATATATTTTGAGGATTGAGCCATCAGAACGCACTGAAAGGTCACACATGGGTATGAGAGAAAGAAACACTCCAAAGACAATTTCAAGGTTTTTGTCTGGTTTTGAGACAGGGTCTCATTGTATAGAGTGGGAGGGCCTTGGATTCACTACGCAGCTCACAGTGGCATCAAACTCACAGTTCTCCCACCTTAGCTTCCCAAGAGCTCCCAAATCCCATGATGTCAAGTTTTGCACTCAGCACTGGAAGAGCAGAACTGTCATAATTGATATGGTGAAGTCTGAGTATGGGGCAAGTTTAGCAGGAAAGATTAAAACATAATTAGTCTTTGATGTGTATTAAGCATCCAGGTACAGCTATTGAATGGTTAAATATACCAGTCTGGACTTCAAAGGAGAGAGGAATGTGGGGGCTCTCGGCATACTGATGGTATTTAAAACCGTGAGTCTAGATGAGCTCATGAAAGGGTAACAGAGTTTGAGTAGAGAAGAAAAGAGGCCCAGTGACCAGGCCCCGGGTACTCGATTATTAATTTGGAGAGAAGCCAGAAGAGAAGTCTGTGAAGATTAATGACTGAGGAAATCCAAGAGCTAAGGAAAGCCACAGGAAGAAAGTACACCAATGGAGAGCAATCACTGTCAAACATTCCCCCATAGCCAGGCGATAGTAACGACAGACCTCCTCAGGTCCCAGCGTGACAGACACTGGTAACCTTGAAGAAAGCACTTTTTGCACAATGGCAGCAGTGCAAAAGCCTTGACATATGGGTTCAAGGAAGACTGGAAAGCGAGGAACTGCGTGCACGTGTGTAGATACCATGTCCGGGTATTTTTTGTGTAAAGAGGAGAAGCAGTGAAATGAACTTGCGAGTACAGTGGAAATGAAATTTACAGAGGATTCTTTTTTGTTTTCTCTTTTAAAATGGGAAAAGGGAGAATGTTTGTATTTGAAAAGCAGTGATCCAACAGGCAGGGAGAAACTGATGGTGCACCAGAGGGCAGAACTGGTGAACTAATAATTCTAAGTAGCCAAACCCAAAGAGATCTAGTGTACAGTGGAAGCGGGTAGTTGTAGAGTACTTACCTCTGAAACCCATTTCATCAGCTCTTTCAGAGCCTTCTCACGGACATCTCCTTGCCATCTGTTGAATATGAATCCTTCCATGCGGAGTTGCTTATAGATAACAATCTCTGGGGATACACCTGCAAGCAGAGGGCACATCTGGAGGACAGGGTTCGTGGAGGTGTCAACATGCCATGACTGCCAACAATACTGCGTGGAAACCAGAATAACTGCCCCCAAGGTATCCACATTCAAAACCTGTGAATGTTTTACCTTACACTGCAAAAAAGATTTTGCAGATGTAATTATCTTAAGCATCTTGAGATGGGGAGATTATTCTGTTATACAGTTAGTCTCGATATAATCACAAGCACACTTGTAAGGGAAAGAGGGACCCAGGGGGAAAACAATAAGTGATGATGGAAGCTGAGATTGGGAAGGGAAGACAGGAGTAATAAGTAGGAGGAGACCTACGCTGCTGGCTTTGAAGATGGAGAAAAGGGCCATATCCCAAGGAATACAGGCAGCTTCCAGAAGTTGAAAAAGGTAAGGAAACAGATCTTCCTCAAGAGCTTCCAGAAGGAAAACAGTCCTGCTGAGCATCTTAAAATTCTGACTTTCAGAAGAATGACAGTAACTTTGCATTGTGTTAGCCATGAAGTTTGGGGTAATTTGTTTACAGCAGCAATAGAAAACTAATGCACACTAAGAGTTCTTGCATAGGTCAGGCAGCATTCATGTAAGAAAGGGACAGTTTCTGTGTGAGACAGAAAAGGTTGTGTTGGTTACTGGGTTTATTTTCCCAAGGATCCTAAGTGACCAGAAACTGAAAGAATACCTAAATATACTCCTTCAAGTTCCAAGATGTCAGGTGAAGATGCCTAGGGATTATCAAAGCCAGAAAAGGCAAGACAACTTGTGGAAACTATCTTTAGCATCTTAGATAACTAGCATTACTCAGGCATAAAGTTTCCACTCTTTACATTGATACTGTTTTTCAATTTTTTCTTGTTTTTTTTTTTTTTTTTTTTTTTACTTTTCACATAGGGATTTAAATGGTTCTGCTTTGACCAGGTGTTTATTGTTTTTCTTCATTATTAAGATACGGCTTTTGGTGAAGCTTTTT